GCGGCGGCGGCGGCGGCGGCAGGTTCGAGTTCCAGTCCCTGCTTAGCAGCCGCGCGCCGGGCTTGGACCCCACCTGCACCCGGCTCCGCGCGTCCGAGAGCCCGGTGCACCGCCGCGGCTCCTTCCCCCTGGCCGGGGCGGGCCCCTCGCAGGCGCCCCCGGCCCCGCTCCCCGAGGAGGACCGCATGGACCTGAACCCGTCGTTCCTGGGCATCGCCCTGCGCTCCCTGCTGGCCATCGACCTGTGGCTGTCCAAGAAGCTGGGAGTGTGCGCCGGGGAGAGCTCGTCCTGGGGTAGCATGCGGCCCCTTATGAAGCTGCTGGAGATCTCGGGCCACGGCATCCCCTGGCTGCTGGGGACCCTCTACTGCCTATCCAGGAGCGACAGCTGGGCCGGGCGCGAGGTGCTCATGAACCTGCTCTTTGCCCTGTTGTTGGACCTGCTGCTGGTGGCCCTGATCAAGGGGCTGGTCCGCAGGCGCCGCCCGGCCCACAACCAGATGGACATGTTTGTCACCCTTTCGGTAGACAAATACTCCTTCCCTTCGGGCCACGCCACCAGGGCCGCCCTGGTGTCCCGGTTCATCCTGAACCACTTGGTGCTGGCCATTCCGCTGAGGGTGCTCGTGGTACTATGGGCCTTCATCTTGGGCCTCTCCAGGGTCATGCTGGGGCGGCACAACGTCACCGACGTGGCTTTTGGCTTTTTTCTGGGCTACACGCAGTACAGCATCGTGGACTATTGCTGGCTTTCACCGCACAATGCCCCGGTCCTCTTCCTACTATGGAACCAACAATGACACCATCTCATTCATATGGCACCAGGAGATCTGAAGGTTTCCACATGCGACCATGCTGACAAAAACCAGCCGCACTCCTGCTCGGCCCTCTAAGGACATTTCAGGCTTCCTTTGAAATTTCAGGTGTCATTCCATCTTGATGGCTTGCTAGGCCGGAGAACGTGCTGGCCATTGGACCACAGCCATATTATGGAAAGCAAAAAAAAA